GCAATTGGCCTGGAAATGACTTGGAAGGAAAACCTTTACTTTCTGTGGGCTGTCAGAAAGCCACATGCATCTTCTATTATCATATTCACACACTTTAAATGATGTTACTTAATGGTAGTCTCTTGATTTACATAGAGAATGCTATAACACATTTTACATGGGATATTGTTAAAACCCTCTTATTGAAGTCATTATTCATCTCTTTTTGGTGTCAGCTCTTGCTGTCAGCCAGTGACATTAGTAAAGCATGAACCCTGGGTGACATGGAAGACCGCAGCCTTTTCACTCATGTAGGGAAATAATTTCATTCCATTCTTTTGGAGCAAGTGTATTACTGGAAGGGAACATGATGAAGAAGAAAGAGACCATTGTGAAAAAAAAATAGAGGGGAAACCAGCTAGAAGTATGCTATTTTAGCAAGATATAAAAAAGCTGAAAATTAATTTATGGTATTTCCCTTCTTTCCACAAAGTCCAGCGTTGTCTCTCTTTCCTCGCTGGTTCCTTTCTGGCCTTCTTCAACTAGCTTGTGAATTGTGCTATAATGCTGTTTGTTGCTGCTGAAAGAGTAAAGCTGGGAAGCATCTTCCCATGCCTGAAAAGCTGGCAGGGAAATCGGTTCTGGTTCCTTGTTTTCAAAAAAGCACTTGAGGTTTCGCTCACTCAACTTGGTGGCATACATCTGGAAAATATGCTCCAGTTGCTCCTTCTCTGTCCCCTCATACACTCTCCCGAACATCTGCTGGAGGTGACTGACTTTTGACTGGCAGCTGGCACAGCAAGTGGCTAGCAGGGAGAGAAGGGCTGTGGTAACTATCACACACCAGCCTAAAATCTGGGAAAGCAAAAGAAATGAGTTTCAGGTTAAAAAGACCCAAATGAAAATGCTACTTAAATCACAAATGTCTGACCAAGTGACCACACTTTGTAGGGAGGACCTGCTGCTCCTTTTGGAACCCTGATGCAGGCATCTCATTCCAGTTTGCATTTGGTGCTGGCATTGATGTTAATGGGGACTGAAGGGAAGGAGAAATTCATCAGATTGAGACTTCTCAAAAGTGCTAATTTTAGTGTCTTTTTCTCAGGAAGGCAAAAGCTGGTTGATTTTTACAGTGTAAGGTGAAACAGTCCTGAAGAGTTGGCTCATACTAGAGTCTTACTGCCTCCCCAGACCATATTATAACAGAGGGAACTTGGATAACAGTTCCCTGAAGAGACATGACCAGTGCAATGGCAGTGGCAGGTTCAGACACAGATGATTTCAAATCAGACCTCAACTAGAAGACTGTATGTGAAGAAAAATCTATGAGAGGTCTAAATGATCTATCAAATAATCTAATGGCTGAATAGAGCTATACAGAAAAGAGAGCAGACCTGAGAGCAGGAGTAGTATCTGGGTAATTTAGAGAGGATATTTATGAGAGTTTATTGCAAAACCATAACCATTTGGCATGTAGTGTACTGGAATTGCTCTCTGTATTCTGTCACACAAAGAGAAAAGTGCATCTGGAGAATAAAATATCAGTCACTAGATGGTAAAAAGTTTTCTATTTCCTGAAAGCGTTAAATAAAATTACCCAACAAAAATTAGTATTAAGACACAATTTTAAATCATGATGAACTACAAAACCAAAAAGTGTGACCTTTTGTCCCAGATCAATCGACGTTTTAAACTGTGAGGTCCCTTAGATGTATTGTTTTCTGACTTCTTTTTAATTAAAAAAACCCTCAAACACAACAACTGCATTAACTAACAGGAATATAGAAGATGGTCTCAAATTTAAAGTGTTCCCCAATTTGAAATGTTCCCCAATTCTCTTGGCAGAATATTCACTGGAATCTATGCTATTATTGTGAACCTTTCTTGACTTTGATGAATAAATCCTTTATCGTGGAAAGTTATTTTTATGCTAAAACCAGTCAAAAATTACCTTTTTGCCCAATTCTGTGAGAATGCCAGGAGGGTATGACAAAGAAGAAATATTATGTGCATTGGTAGGTCTGCGTTAGCACTGGAATTGAACCCTATTCATCTACACACTTATTAGGAACAATTTCTGTATTTTCAGAGAACTTAATTTTTGCTGAAATTCGCTTTTCCACCATCACTTAGCTTTTTTATCTGTAGGAGCTTCAGAGTTTGACAAAATTCTGTAAAGAACATTTTAAAAGAAAGAGCTACCCTGGCAAGGGATGACGGTGGAAAAATGTGCTTGAAATTGTTCTTGTGGGACGTTCTCCTCTAAGGAGAGCAGAGATGTGAAGACAATCTTTTCATGCCTTGTTCCACTGGCCTAGCCAGTAGTTTTACTCATCTACTCTACTACAATGTGTAACATTTGCAAAAAAATGTAATACTTGTTTACAAACAGTGGAAAATATTCCAGTGTGGAATAAATATTCTAGGTTTCAGAGACCCATATGAACTGGAACTTGTTTCCCATGCTCTAATGGTGATGAAATGGAGAGCTGCAACCTTTCTCGTGTGAACTCTTGCACTGATGTTAAAAAAATAACCACCGGTAAAAATCTGTATTTAGCTGAGGGAATATAGGAAGTTTCCTCAGGGAAAGCTGTGAAACAGAGAAGCTTGACGAACAACTATTGTTAGGAACTGGTAGGGAAGAATAGTTTAGCTTTCTTTTATTTTTCCCAATCACTTTGTAGTGACTGATGATTTCTATGGGTGTTTGAGAAATTGCTCTTTTTAGCAGATTTTCACTTTCTTGCAGGTTGGAAAATGAAGTCATGTGTTCTCACGCTTAAACCCAGTCACCGGTCTTTCACTATTTCCTATGCATACAACTTAAATTCTGAAGTACTATTTATTATTTCCTTCTAAAACTCTCAAATAAATTGCTTTGTCTGCAGTGCAGGCTTTGTCTGCATTCCAGTCCTATTTGCATGAGGACTTGAAAATGAAACTGGCTCTTGGGGAGGAAATTGTTCCAGATGGATACAATTGCCTGACAAAAACTTCCTGGCTCCACAGTGTTTTTCCTTTTCTGTGGCTTTTTCTTCTCCACTGTTTTGTTTCTTTGTCTCAGAATTTATTTGTGTTACAAAGCAGTGAGCAGAACTGTATTACACAAATATTATAAAATGTAATAAAATCTCAGCTTCACATGTTCTGCTTGCTTTATGTTAGTATTTCTTCTTTTCTTTAAGCAGGACAAAAATGTGCTCACATCTGGTGTCACGAATATGAGGAACACAAACGTAAACACATTATGTAGGCAGTCACAAGTCTGTCAAAAATCTTATTTTCCAGTATCTTTCTACTGTTAATGACCTAAGATTCCAATATGGTTATCACACTCTTCTATATTGTACAATATGCATTCATTACAATAGTTTCAAATAAGAGAGTATAGAATGAATTTTTTATTAGAACAGACCTCTTTAATGAAATGACATCTGTTAAATCAGCTTCCTAAACAATTCAGTCATTTTTATCTCTTTAGAGCTATCTTCATTCAGGAAGAAAGCTTAAAGTTTTCTGGTTTTATTGACACTGCCATATGTGGGGCCCCTCAGGAAGTATGCAACAGCTCAAACTGAACTGAAAGATGGATTGTATTTTGCAAGGCTGCACTTTGCCAAAACACTGTTTACATGAAACCAATGATTTTAACATAACATCTGACATTAGGATCTTTCACAGATAAATCATAACAGCAATACAATTTGCATAATGCTCTTTATTTATAATTTTTCTTACCTGGGACTGTGCTTGAAGTGTTCGTCTCAATTCATCACTCTCTGAAAGGGGCATGGAGCTTTTGCCACAGGCTACCATGTGTAGCTCTCCAAAGCACTTTTCGGATTTTCTGTTGCAAACCACCTTTAAGTAGGCAGGAGTGTCCAAGCCACTCATGGCACATTCATAAAAAGTCCCGTTGAGCAAAGCCACAGAAAGCCACATCACTGGGGCGACCAGGGCATTTAAAGTGATTTGTCCAAAGACATAAAAGAAATGGCAGACATTCCCTCTTGGGAATATTTTCCTGGGATTCACCCAGCAGCCTGTAAAGAGTTTCCAGGTCTTGTTGTTCAAGAAGTATCCAATAACTAGCAAAACAAGAGCTGGGGAGAAGAGAAATACCAAACCGTACCTGAGGTTTTCACCACTACAAGGGCATCTGAAAGCAACAAGAGAAAACACACGTTCACCTCCCATTGTCAGCAGTGCCATAAAACTGTAACCTATAGCAGTTTTCTGGTTGATGAAGAACTTTAGGATTGTTTGGAAAGCATCCATGTCTGATATTCACTAAGGAGGTAAAAACCAAGACAGTTTGTCTTCGCAGCAGTTTGCTGCAGGGAAGAGCTCTCCCGAGGACGAGCAGCCCGCTGCTGTCCCGCCTGCCCACGCACTGCCGAGATAACGCCGTGATGTCACTGCCTGCAGAACGGACCCCGCTGCCAGCAGAGCAGATGATGCAGATTTACAGTAACATTCAGCGGTAGTGGAAACCAAGCAAGCAATGCTCTAAGTAATCAAATAAGTTTGCAGTCTTGACAGTTGTGTTCTTGGTGGGTCATTGTTATTTTTGTGACTGCAGATGGAGATCAGAGTAAAAACACACACCAGTTGCAGGAGATCTTGAGCTGTGATGGTAAAAGTTGTGGCAATGTAGTGAAGGATTTAATACAGAGGCTAATGGTCCCAGGGGAGTATAACATGACTGAAAGCAGACTAAAAGCAAACGAGTGATAATAGTAAAACCACTTTGTATGGGATTGTAAATGTAGGAACATCAAAGACAGAACAGACAGCCTTCTGTTGTGTTTCCCTGGAGCATCACATAACTCTGTTTTTGCATTGCTGGCTCAAGCTGAACACAGAAAAGGCAAATCTAGTTTGATTTCTAGCCTGTCTGGCCCTTCCCCCTATTTTCCTGGAGCAAAACTAGTGTACAGGATGTTGCATTCTAAAGTTTCACCTCTCTCTGGTTTGTATATAGCAGATTCAGGCAGCAGAGTTTCATCCTTTTGCAGGTTGCTTTCAAGACGTACCTTGGGGTCACCCCTAGTGTGAGTTGCAGTAGTGCTGCAGGAAATGAATTCTCCTTAATCCTGGACAAAAACCCACTAGTGGACTTTGTGGAGGAGCTGCCAGCAGAACGAGCATCACTTTGCTACTGTAACCTCCTCTGTGGCGTGATTCGAGGTGCCTTGGAAATGGTAAGGAAGTGCACATCTGTTTTCACCATTCTTTGTTAATTCACAGAGGCACAGGAAAGCAAACCCACCTGCTCAGATAAATGAAAATACAGTATTGTTTAACCTCTCAGATTAAATCTCTATATCTAAATAAAAGAGGGCTAAACTGATCCTGGATCCTGAGGTAGAGATACACACAGATTGGCTCACCTCCACACTGTCTCTGCCAGGCTCTTCAGTGACTGACTTGGGTGCAAAAGCCAGGTGGGATTGGGAGCCAGCTGACATGTAATATGGAGAGCCATGGGTGGATGCTGGGTTCCTCCACTGCTGCTTGAGCCTATAGCACTTTCCTCCACAGTTGTAGCCAGTAATACTCACCCCAGATTCAAATACATGCAGATAGATAATATTCTCAGGTTACTGCAGCACCTGCTGAAAGGGAGAACAAAATGTGGGTAAATATGTTAAAATCAAAGCATCAGAAGTGTATCAGATGGCATTCCAAATTTAGTTCTTAAATTTAAAACTTTTACAAAATAATAAATAGAGGGCATAATTTGAAAGTTACTGAGCAGTAGAGCTTCTGTGGCTTTTTCTGATAGATTACTTTTGATCTGCTTTATGTTTCTGCCAATAACTAATTTGGCATGTATTTTATATTTCAAGAGAAAATAAACCTGAACAAGTATTATGTATATACATCAGACTCAGTGTTACAGTATGTGATACAAGACTAATTAACAAAAGTATTATCTCTTAAATTTTAGTACGTGACCAGGAAATTCTATGATCACAAAATCATCAAGTATACAATTTAGGTTCTCAGAAGAAACCAAAGCACTGGAATGAAGAGTAATGTATTATACAAATCCCAGTGTATATAAATTTCTTTTTTATTAACTGAGTTGGGAAAGACATTTTAAAATAGTTTAGAAACCTGTTTCTTATGAAACCTGAGAAAGGGAGTCCTCTTGTGGTAAGAGGGAGAGAGAGGAAAAAAGCTCTTTTACTGGAGGAGGGTGGAAAACTGGGGATTTCTTCATTTAACTGATCAAACATGATTCTTTTTAGGTTCACCTAGAAGCAGAAGTCACCTTCCTCCAGGACAGGCTGAAGGGTGATGCTGTGACAGAAATAGGAATTACATTTTTAAGGAAGCCTGAAGGCAGAAAGCACAAAAGGAATAAATGAAAGAAATATTGGGAGAAACCCTTGCTGAGGGATATTTTATGCCTTTTGTTTCAGAAGAAGACATACAGGCTAAAAATGGTTTCACTGTTTCAGCTGCACTAGCCACTTGGTTGAAAGGTGAAGACAGCTGGGCCGTAAACAGGAGGGGCAGGACAGGGAAGAGCAATATTAGTTGTCATGACACAGATATTAAAATGATCAAAATGACCTGCCCTTCCTTCTTGCATAACCATGCTCTTGAGCTTAATGCAAGTTTTGTCTCAGTATTTAGTGCATGCTTGATGCAAAATATTCATTTGGAACCAACTGTTCTCAGACAAAGATGATGATCTTTTCCCATTTTGTTTTTCAGTAATATTTCAAAGCATGGCTACTAAGAGGTGCTTTATTTCCCTGGCTGTGCATGCTTAGGTATAAAGAATTCATCTGCTCTGGCTGCTGTATGCCATGTGTCGCTCACAGGTGCACGTTTTGGTGTGTAGTGGTTTGCCATTCATTGTCCTCCATGCTGGACATCCTACTGCTTTGATACCACAGAGGGATGCAGCTTCATCAATGGCAAGAGCTGGATGGGTTCCTTACAGCTCTCCCAGGCCCCATATGCAGTTTTGCTGGCCTGTTCAGTCCTGTGCACACACCTGGCTGCAACCTTCTGACAACTGCAGCAATGCTTGTGTTGCTCCAAGCCTTTTCATGTCAGCCCTCTCTTCAAGAGCACTCGTCTTATGACCAAACTGAACAAAGCGTGATGTATCTCATGTGTACTTCAGATCTGTACTTGCCTAAGGAAACTTGAATGAAAATTTTAAGATTGACACACAACTGGTTTGGTGGTCATTGTGTCTGGTCTTACCTGATCTTCACCACCAGCTATTGAACATCTTCCCCTTGGCATTGGACTTTTTACCGCAACATGGCTGGGAAATAGAGAAGGAGCAGCCTCACAAAGACCTGAGTTTCAGGAAGGGCTTAATGTTTTTCCATGTAACACAAGATATCTAGGTGAGGGTTGGACAAAACCCCAGGTCCTAGCACGATACCCTACCCACTAAGCCAGCTCACCTTCTCCTCACCAAAGCACTTGTTGTAAACTGAAATACAAACAATTAAGTTCATTGAAGCTCAGAGTTAACTCTGATTTTATCACTGTGATTTTAACCCTCTTCTCCTATTTTTCCCTCAGTGTGTTTACCTCTTAATCATGCTAAGTGAGGGGCATCTCTTACCTTGGGGACTGCAGAGTTCATTCCCACCAGATCTGTGTAATCTTCATGATAGTCTTTTTCCCTTCATATATCTTAACAGTGTCTTACAGTGGTGGCAAAGTGTAATGGAGCTTTAAGAGAGCAATTTTGTACAGAACAAAAACTAAGCTGTTCATTACCCAGTCTTGGTCTCAACCCAACTGCTGTTACCTGCTACCAGTAAGAAGTTACAACATGTAACAATGTTATGTAACAATGTGTTACAGCCAGTAACAAGTTTCCATACTTTCTCTTTGCTTTGGTTTGGTTTTGGTTTTTTTTTGGAGGGGGGGAGGGAGTTGTTGTTGTTGTTGTTTTAAATCAGGGCTGAAAGGTCTTGTGGAATGTGTCTGATTTCAGTGCCCATACAGGAGCCCTCGGTGCAGTTTTTGCTGGTTATATCTAGCTGACTGAGACGGACATGTGGCTGACCACAAAAAGACGTTCTTTATAAGGCCATTTTTACTTTTTCCAGCAACATCCGACTAGCCAAAAGTTACCTTTTATGTGTTCAATATGAGAGGTAAAAGGTAACATTTTCAACTGAACTGTGCTTCATGAAGGCACAAGTAACAAAATCGGACACTTGGTACTCTATTATCTTTAAGTTTCTTGGAAGGAAAAGAGCACTGAGCAAGTCAGTGCCTGTGACAAAATGAATTATTTTTAAAATTCTTTTCTACATATATAATTAAATCTTGTTTTCCCTTTATGTGTTATACTTTCAGTTGATAGTGAGAAAGAATCTTCCAAGCTCATTATATTCAGCTAGTTAAAATAGGCTCTTCCCTTCCTTCTTCCTTGGAAAATGAGTATAAAAAATAACTTCTTGGGATTCCTTTCTGTCTGTCTGAATAGTTTCCACTTTTACTGTGTAGAAAGAGAGGATTTTTGGGAGGAGTAATAGGACAGCCCAGACCAAACCATCTGACTCAGCTCTCCTAAATGCTGCCTTAGGAAAAAGCTTTTCAGATGAAAACTGAACTTTGCTATTCTTCACTCAAAATCGATATATATGTTCTTATAACTTGATGTTATTTGATAAGGATATTATTATTTGCTAATATGGATTACAGATTTATAATATCCTTCAGTATGTGGTTGTGCTATAAATGTTTGTTAATATATAAGCTTCATTTACACTGCCATGTTATGCATAAGCCTAATCCCTCAAGTTAATTTACACTTTGATAGACTCCATTCTGGATGAAGTTAAATAGTGTATTTGGCAGGGACAAGCAAATGTAGCTTGGATGTAGCTTAAGTAGCTTAGGTACTGATGCCAGGGCCAAAACACTGTACATATGATTATATCTTTTAAAAATCCCTCAGTAACTAAGTCCTTCTGAGAAAAATAAAAGGAAGAATGTAAACTGTAAGTTTAATGTTAGTGTATTTTCCCTGCAGCATTCATTCAAATGCCTATTTTTTTCCATTAAAGAGCTTTACAATTACAGGAAATTAGCAGTAGAGATAATTATGAAGGACTGCTGCAAAAGGTGACCAAGATCAGGCAGTGGTAATGAAAATTCACTGCCATGGGAGCTTTTAGCTTCGTGGGTACTTCCCAAAGCTGCTGAGCACATAGAGGTAAAATGACTGGAAGCTATTTGGTCAGCAATTCAAACTGATATGCAGCTGCAGTCATTCGATGGACCCCTTTGTTATGCACAGGTAGCTCCAAAATGGTAATTGCTTCCCAGGTTTTCAAAGATGCTGTCATTGCCTTGAGCAACTAATTGACTGAAAGTAAATATCTTTCTGCTGCGCTGAAAGCTTGTCAAGTGAGAGCTAATAAACTAAGCTGAATTTCTGATCAAATCTTCCATTTGTTTTTGTCTCTTTGATAAGTTTTGGTACTGTCACTCGAGCTGCCAAGTGCCCTTAAGCTGTTTGGTAATAATCTGACATAGTATGTGCTGACATCTTTTCGAATGCTGATAATTTTAAACATATGACTATTCTTAATGAACAACAACATATGAAAACTCCCATTGTGACAGATGTATTTATTTAAATGTATTTAAGCAAAAGTAATAAAGTCTATTTAAAACCAAATCTGTTGAGGGTTACAGCTATCATCTTTTACATAACGTTTGCATTGATTTCAGCACAGAAGAGCACAGAATAAGACTCTTTGGTTAAAAGACCGCCAGCATTGCAAAGGATTTGTTTCACTAAAATCCTGAATCAATGTCATGTGTTTCATCAACAAATCCTAAAACAGTGGGATTTTGACTGCCTTCCTCAAATATGGCATTGTTGCCTCTGTTTGTGTTCACATACTTGTGTATCATACTGTAATACTGCTCTTGTGAATTGAATGTATACAAGAACGAAATCTTCTGCCAGTCTTTGTTGCTAGGAGTATGAAATGGTGCTGGGTCAGTGGCTTCAAAAAAACAATTTGTATTTATTTCTGCCAGCTTGGTTGCATGCTCTTTGGCTTTGATCTCAAAGAGTTTTTGTTCTTCTTTTGAGTAAATTTTCCAGAACTTGAGCTGAAGATAGCTGACCGGGGAGCAACAGCAGCTGACACATGTTGAAATCAGTGCCATAGTCATGATGTTGGCTATCAGGAACCATCCTATCAACTTGAAAGAAGATAGATAGGTTAATGGTGGTTTTGCATGGTCATATGAAGGAGTATAGGAAATAGCATTGAAGAAGATATGAAAACTGTAAACAAAGATACTCCCTGGAGTGCATGTAACTGTCTGCTTGCTGCCAAAAGAGGGGATTCCACTCACACAATTCAGCCAGCCATACAAGGCTTCTGTGCCCCTGAGCTGATCTTGTTGGATTAAAGATGAATATCAAGAAAAGAGAAGGTGGTCTGAAGTTATTTTCTCGGTTATATACAGCTTTCTTAACTTTTAAGGCAAAATATTGACCATGAGTTTCTCCAGTTGTGGTCAGAATTATGGTACAGGGGATGCAAAATCACCCTGTGTGCCTCATGCTTGAAATCAGACCTCCTGCTGACTGCGTTCTATCTGATTGTGGACAGTAACTGCTCTCCCTGATGCCTGAGCATGCAAAAACAATCAGGGGCCACAACGCACAGGAAAAGTTGTGTCCTGTACATTTTGTAGGCAGGACACAGAATTGGCTATTGAATATGGGAATTCATTCTTGTTTTATACACGATTTAAACATCCTTAGGTAAGTCTCAGAGGTCCCATCAAAACCAGGTGTCCTAGTAGATGCTGATCTGTCCTTTAAGTGGTACTTAGCTGGAAGCTCCAAGCAGAGATCCTGCAACATCCCCTTTAACCCCAGGATGACTTTTTTTTTCAAATGAAAAATTATTGAGTGCTAAAGAAAAAGGAGTTGGTGTTCTTTTTGGTTCTTAATTTTCTGTAGACAGTAGATTAGATATTAAAAAGTGGTCAGTAACAAAAGTGCTCTCATGCTTTTTCTGGTTTTGTTTGACTGGATGTTTCTTTTAGATTTCATTGCAATATCAGTCTTCCTTGATTTTTCTCCTTTCTTGCCCTATCTGAATTCAATGGTATAGAGTTTGCTCCTTGTCAGCCTCTTTCTTGGAGAAGGAGCATGCTAAATATTTAACAAATGTAAACATTTTTTAATTTTAATAAGCATTTGTACTAAACAGGAACTTACAAAAATCCGAGTAATTATAAACTCTTATAAACTTAATTGCATTAACCACCCTTAATGTTTTCCTGAGGAAAAGTTACAAATTCTGATTTTCCTACTGGAATTAAGACGAGATCCATACAAACCTAGAAACAAAATTGAAGTGCTGCC